ACGGTGACGACGGCGCCTAGAAACCTATAGTTGGATATTTATATATATACATACATTTTTTTATAAGGTGCCAAACTCGATTGGTTGTACATTTGTCAATAACTTAAATTATTATTATCTGTAATGTCATATGCTATGTAAACGATTCGATGAAACGACATTGTACATTTTAAAATCACGTCTCTATACATTTTATAAGCATAATACCTAGGTATATATTATATAACTAATAACTATTACACTACCTACCTGTACAGTCATGGTATTCTCAACACGTGATACAACGACTGTCTTTTTGTATTTAGTGTAAAAGATTTTTCACATTTCCGAATATCTCATTGGTTTTCATACACACATTGCACGCGTAATTAATACGATTAAAGTTGCGGTGATCAGAACAATCGCGAATCCTATCTTTAAGTTTATAATTATTAATACTCAACCAACTCAAGACCGCGAAGATGAATAACATTAAACTTTTGTTTAATACGCTTAATAATTTATTACGTAGGCAAACGTTGACATTTATGTGAAAATTTGATTTTTTTTAATTGATCATTTCCTGTTTTTACGTATTCTTGCTTTCCCGCAGTCTGGAACCGATTTAAGTGGCGTAACGTATTAAAAGGTGTTTTAATGGCGAGCCATTAATTTTTGTTTTTATCTACCCGTTAATAAATAGGACGTTAAATTGTCTAGTGGCGTATATTACGGAACATTGAACAACCATGGGTATACGGGTGTAACCCGATGCAAAATTGCTTATGGTTTTTTTTCATTAGGATTTATTAGTTTTAACTATTACAAATAACATCGCCAGCAACTATTATAACAATTAATATACCACCACCCATTATATCATTAAAAGTAGAATATTTTTTTAACGATGGAAATGCATTTTTATGATAAAAACATATTTCATTATTATTATGTACTTATGGTATGAAATTGAAAGGAGGTGTATAGTAGCTGAATTGAATAATTAATGATATTGTTTTACTGGGAGTATTTGAGATATTAATGCATTATTATTTAACACTATAAAGCAGTGTCTTAATTATATGTACAATATACAATTATTGTGGTACATAAAATATAGGTAATTAAAAACTATCACTATGCCAATGTATAATATATTCATTTATATACATATAATATATTTCTAATAGGTAGGAATTAACAAAATTAACTTCTCTTTAATTTATATTCTTTAAACTAATATATTTTTCTGAATCTTAAAAGACATTTGAGATTTTGAACAAGTGAAGCTTAGTTTTATTTACAGTTAGATATTGTTTTAATTTTTACATTTATATTTTGTGTATGGCATAGTGTATCAGAGCAGTATCTTTGTATCAATATTCAACATTGACTATTTAAGATTGTTTTACCGGTTTTGGTAGCATATGCTTTATAGAGTTAGTACTTCGGGAGTAAAAAATAGAAAAACTACATTACTTTTCTTAGCAGTTAGGAAAAACTAAAAAAAACAGGAATGCGAACGTATCACCAGGTTTTGTTAAAATCGATTTTGTTTTTTTGTTGTAATTGAGAATGAAATAGTTGTAAAGACTTGACGTTTTTATCAAATATTATTGAAACCAATGTTTTTTAGATATGGAGTTAATGTATAAATATAAATGTATAAGTACAAAATACGCCATTATGTTTTAAACGATATTATAAGTTTATAATCGATGATAGATATTGCAATACTTATTAAATTATAATATAGGACATTGGTGGCTGAAATAGTCACACATTTTTTAATTCAGTTTTTTTTTAATTTGGTACTTTCATATTAACTTTCATTATTTATGATATAATGTATATTTTATAACTTCATAACTATTAAAACTCAAAACAATTTAATAGTCAGTTATAATTGATTCAAATAATTCATAACTAATTATACCTGCAGCTTTAGGTAGCACCCAATAATTTATAATTTGGTATAAAAATGTATTTAATATAAATGAGTAGGTAATTTCAAAATTGACCCAAGTCATAATATTATCCGGTAACAGCACCTATGGCAGATACGCTATAATATTATCATTACACCTAGGATATTTTAAAGTATTATTATTTGTATTATTATTTTATATTATTGTTCATATTATAACTTGTTTATAAATAAATTATCTAACAATTTTACAATCTGGTAAATTTTAAATAGCAGTGGTATTAACGCATTTTTGAATTTTTTTGTATCGATTTGATATTTATTGTTTTAATTTATTTTTCGTGAGATAAATTTGTGAATACAAACTTGAGGTAAATTTTTACTTTTTTTAGCTGTCACCAAAAATATTAGCACATGTACATTACTTTAAATGAACAGTGTTTGCTTTATTATGTCACGAATACTAAAATAACATCATGAATGATTCATGATGTTGTTTTAGCATTATTTTAGGTAGGTATACTATACTATGTATAAGTATTACTATTATTCATACATCATATTGTTATAGAATAAACATATATTATCTTAAACTCCTTTCAGCTCACTTATTACCCATAATATTATTATAATGTACAGTTTTATTGCATACAACATATAATATATAATATATTGTATATTAATATATTAATTCCTTTACTGTATAAATAAATATTTACTATTAAATATGGAATAAGTACAACAAAAATCATTGAAACAACGATCTGTAGGTATATGACATAGATTTACTAAATCATATGTATATATTTTACAGGTATCTTATTTTGCAAAGACCAAAACATATTAAATACCTACTACTATATATACTTAATACATATATTCAATAATGTGTTAATTTTGTATTTATTATATAATCATACATTAATGTCTAATAGTTTATTAAAGATTGAAATGTAGGGACCAATGTAATATAATATATTATTATAATATTGCATTTTATTTATACATACTATATAGGTAGTAAACATTAAAACGTATTGTCGGTACTAGGTTTGTATCACTTGTAGTGAAAAAGGCCATTAACCTATATATCGTATAATATTATAATATCGTGTATAGAGTATAGCTGTATTGCAAGCAATAAATGGTGTTTTGGATATCGAACAGTATGTACACATAACTACATTATTTACATGGATAAAACATACCCTGCATGTTTATTACATTATAGTCTATAGATCGGCTTATATTATGAACTCCATCGTCCACCAGGCAACTCTTTTAGTAGTTAACTCAGAATATAAATTAACCCGAGAGAATTATATTCCACAAACAAAATAAATGCAAAAATTACTCAACACTTTAGTTATGTAATATACCAAAGTAGTATGCACATTGTCTAATTTTGATATTTAATATAGGCACCTATACTATGTAAACCATAATACTACAAGCCTAAATATTCAATTTTAAATAGATATGTAATTCGAGTATAGGTATTCAACATAGGACATCTCATATAAATTTGTGATAGATATAGATACAGAAGAATATATTATAATTTTTAAACAGTAAAATTAATGTTATTGTAATATATATAATATAGCTGTGGTATGAATTATGAGCCCAGCGTAAAGCTAAATTCCACAGGTTTCTATACTATATGCTGTACAATATGTATTATCATGAAAGGTTATTGGTTTGAGTGTTTGAACATTTATCTTTCTGTTAAGTTATTTTAAAGGCTGATGAAGGGTGAACACTGAAACACTGAATATAAGAGAGCCGTACTCATATTCCATGTTTTATACCAGTGATAGTATATGATACTATATAGAACTATAATAGTACAATGTGACACAAGAAACGCGGCCTGTTATTAGGCCTTAGCACGTTTGGGCACAAAACGATATTTTTACCTGGGATTTGGAGAACGATTAGGAACACATGGATGAGTTAAAATTTATTTTCTTAAAAACCAAAAATGAATAGGTACAACGTTTGCGGACATACATCATATTTTTTAAATAATACCACATCTGGGTACCGATGTTTGGGTACACAATTTTTTTATTTTAATTTTTAGAGCCGTTTACCTAACATCAGCACGAGGAATCTCCCAATCATATATTTTTAAGCTTAAAAATATTTGTATTGTTATATTATTATGGAAAATCATTTTGTCATTCATAATTCATTACAAGAATATTAAATCTATTAAAATTGTATTTTATTTATTTATCTAGATTTATTTTTTTCCGACAAAATGTTATCCGATATCATATAAATATTTTATTATATCATTGTCAACTTTAAGCTCATTACAACTTTTTTTTATTTATATATAATCTGAATTCTCTTATATTATAATATTTTTAACATTTCTCTTTATAGTGAATATTTTTAAAAAGTTTCTTTTTGAATTTCCATCAAGGTATTGATTATACTGATACAATTTGCTTGTACAACTTAAAATACTACCACTATAGTAGATTACGCGTATATATTATAATGCACACCCAAACGTGTCTTATATAGTTATATCTATGTGTACCCAAACATTCTCTGATTTACCTGGTAAAATCAGTTTATAAGAGTATAAAAGTGTTGGCTTTTGGGCTAATGTGCTCAAACGTTCCGCTCCCGTTACTTATCACGAAAAAAAACTAAAGCAATATTGAAATTTAAAATATGAAAATAAAACATTATCAAAACACAATTTAATATCTATAAATTAATAGTTTAAAGCCGTTGCAAGTGTTATAAGTTATAACGTATAGATACAAGCAGTTATAGTATGGCAACCGCCAAGGCCGGCCCTAGAGTCGTGACTGTCCGAAGCCTACAAGAAAACTTTCCGAAATAATCCTTCATCGAACCATACACATGAAAAATGTATGTTCCCCACATATCCTCAGGAGCAACCTCGATATTGATCATAATATTATATTGTCACACAGTGTTGCTATATTTATAGTCTACACTAATATAGTCCAACATCAACAACAATCGTTGACCAGCTGATTATAACGTCACCGTAATCGTACTACTAATAATAATTACTACTAATAATAATAATTGCACTTAAGTTTACCGTTATGTTTGGCTTTCGGGGTGACCAAGCGGAACGCGCTGTTTCCGCCGGCGCTGCTGTGGTGGTGCCCGTTCACGGCCGAGGCATTTATGACGCCGGCACCCGTGGCGTGGTGGTGATGGTGATGATGATGTTGGTGATCGTGCTGAACGAACTTTAGAAGACCTGACGGCGGTGCGGGCGAAGCGGCGGGTGAATGACGGCCGTCATTGGACTGCTGTGCGGTGGCGGCGGACGAGGTGCCGCCGCCACAACTGGTTGCAGCGGCAGCGGCGGCAGCTACGGCGGCGGCTGCGGCGGCCCCGGATGAAGGCGTCCTGACGATGGCCGTCGGTGGCGTTCTCTTGACCGACACGCTAAAGTCGATCGGCGCGGACACTGTGATCTCCATCGCAGGGGACGACGACGGGTTTGTTGTGGCCCGCGGCTGCAGCAGTGGACGCAACGGTACGGGCCCTCGGGTCGCAGAAAAAATGCGCCCGTCCGCGCTCGACTATTTCGCCGAAAATCTATGTGCGCAAATATTGTGAAATCAGTTCGCGACAAACGATTATTGTTATTACTATGGTCGTTGGTCGGTATATTACGGTACTATCAGTACGTGCGCAATGTGTGTTTGAGTACCGAATAAAGTCGTTACAAATCACGATTTGATTTCAAATGAGGAAACGATGATATTTTTAACGTCTGTTTGTATTATGGTAGTCCGACAGGCGACAGGTATGCGTCGTGGACGCACGCTGCCAGCACGGATGGTACGGTACGTGATCCGGTCGGAACTGTAATGTCGCGACGGCGGCGCCGGCCGAACGGTCGGGCACGTCGGTGGGCGGCGGCGCCCGCGGCCGCCCCGGACACACTCCTCCCACAAAACGGCTTTTGACTAACCGCAACGGGCGAGCGCGCCAGCGGTTTTACCTATACACTCGTTCACCGCTCGTCCGTCCGCTCGACGGCGCCCGCTCGAACCCGTACACCCGCCACTGCCCACGGATTGCGACGCGCCAATCCCGTCCACCCGCCGCCGCTGCAGCCGCTCACCCACCGCCACGACGACGCCGGTTTAATATTATATGTATTACAGTATTAAAGCCGCGCGAGTGTGAGTGCGGTTTTTCCGCGCTGCCCCCCCCCCCTGCCCCGCGTCTTATTGCCCTTTCCGTTCCGCGTCGCCGTCAGCCACCACCGTTCGCCTTTATATTATTATTACGAAATATAATAATAATAGTAATAATAATAACGCGCGTTGTAGACGGCCAAATCTGTGGCGGCCACACTTGCGCGCGTTGTCAGCCACTGCCGCCGCACAACACATAATATTATTAATATTTAGTGTAGTGTGCAGCGTTATAGGTATTATTATTATTATGTATACCGGCATTACGCGAGGTCGATGCGTTTGATTTTCACGATTTTCGGTCGTCGCCGGATTTCGCCATTGGTACTTACAGTGATTCATAAAATATTATGATTCAACGCAATAAACATTACACCGAAATCGGTTTCGTTCGACGAGCGTTTTGCAATGCGCACGATTTCATTGTACAAGTTATTACGCATACGAACCACCGTCACTCGATCGTCGCCGTGAGCGATATCCGTTTCCGCTGCAACAGTACCTCTCTCAATCACGCCAATACCCTTTTCCATCAAACGTGAATTTATAAACTTCGCTCTTTTCTACCCTAGTTTCTATTCAAATGTGATATTCAACGATCCCTCATATCGTTTCCATCAAAAGAATAATTCTATACTGAGTTCGACGGTAGTACCTATACCTACCTATTTGTTATAAACCGTCACAAAACTTTCAAATTAAAGACAATTATAATATCATAAATTAGAAATCTCAAAAATAACATAATATCATACAACATAGCGCAGGGGCGCTCTAGCAGAGGCCTTAGCGGCCCCGTCTCATGCCCGTATTTCTAAAAAATATCAAAAAATAACGTATTAAGATATTGAAAGTTATCTGAAATTTGCTCCCCTCCCCTCAACCCTGTCTCTGAAGTCGCCACTGATATAGTGGTAGGTCAGCTACATTCTAACCATAACGATTTCAGATATTATAGGACATTTTTACCACATGTAATAAACAGATTACACATTAGTGACCTATCCGCTTACCTTTTGTAATGATAACGCATATGATTTTAACTTTTTTTTTGAAAATCAGACGCTCGTGTAACATGTATTACGTATTGTACCTATTTACATACTACATACATCAATATGTCAATAATATTTGTCGTATGTTGTTTAATGCAATAAAAGTGAATTAATTACAAAAAACATACAATTTTAAGACTCAGTTACAAGTACAACACTAGTATATAACTATCTATAACACGCACAAAATATCGAGACACAAAGAAATACCCACCATGAATATGGAAAATATAATATTTTTACATAGCGGTCGTAGTTATACCTGCAGGTGCTGGGGTGATGCATTTTATATAGCTCGGTGACCACGAGGCAATAACGAACAAGTACCAAAAGCATACAGTAAGTTATTTTAAAATACTGTAAAAAATTTCAAAACAGTATTGTAGGTATACATAAGACATTTTGATGTAGGTATATTTATTGTTTATAAAAAGAGTATTCACATACTTTCAATAAAATTAAAATTAATTATTAATTATTATTTGTATACATTATATGTATCACATAGAAGTAGGCCAGTAGATACTCAGTAAGTGTTATAAATGTATAATAATTATTAATATAGTACCTATGTCCTAACTGTAACGTTTCCTGCCAGGGTTTACTTTAAATCCACCACTGCTTGGTGCCTGCATAATTTTTATGCAATACATTAGTTTAAAAACTTTGCAAAAAATGATTCGAATAAAAATATAAAATAAGATAGGTGAAGCAGGAACACATTGTTGTAAGATGTATACATTTGTACACTTACACGGACACTCATTGTGGGAGTAAGTTTCGTTAATTCGCATTAACTGTAGTGTACATACTAGCTATAGATATATATTATACAATAAACATAATATTATACAGATATAACAGCAGTGTTTTGAGCTACACATCCATCTTAGTTTTCAGGGAAGTATTATTCTCGTGTGGACTAAGTTGCGTTTATATGCATAGTCCGCGACACAAAGGTGACGGGACACAATATTATATGTATACCTACATTTAGACACTCGGCGAAGGTTTATACAATATATATGTATACACTATTTGCACGTGGCTGCCAAACATTGTCCAGACGCGGCTCGCACGACTTTATTAATATACGAAATAGTGGGAATTATTATAAGAAGCGCGTGGTAAAATTACACCGCCATTACCTACTAGTTGTAAATAATAAATATATGTATATATTAGTTTTCATTCTTTTTGCGTGCTTTTTTTACCGCAATATTCAATTATACTGTATGTATAATTTAACGTAAGTACCTACTTCACGTACAATTTTACATTGCAAGACTTAATATTGGTACACATTATAATGTCTAATACGGTAGTGTATATTATTATTACAGGCATATTTACAGTTAGAGGCCAACAAAGGTTCTCAAACTTTTCTTATTTACGAAGTTATCACATATTATGACACAATATAATATGGTATACTGTATTGTGATATAGTTATACCTACTACATAATGACTAAAAGCAACTATTCAAAATGATAAATCAGTAAAATATAATATAATCATTTTTTATGTACCTGTCTGTAGTTTAATTTATTTCCCGTACCAGGTGTACCACCACATAGTCTTCTATGTACCGCAGTTTAATAATCACTGTTACAAGATGGAATTATAGAACATTTATACAGGTTTAACTATGTACCTATAATGGCTAATACTTGTGTAACTTACAACTGGAAAGAGTATCAAGAACGCGATTCGAGATGAGGAATTTATGAGCTTATAGTTCATCACTTGCAGCAGACATTTTAATAAGTGTAAACAAAATGTATTGAGAACCAAATACACCACTTTAATACTATATTATATACATATATATCTACACACAAATGTATTACATCACAACTGAATAAGGCTAATTCAGTATTTAAACGTACACCATTGACTCTTCATATTAATATCTTGATTCTTGACCAAATAAGTCAAAATTATTACAATATAATATTAAATATAATTTAAATAACCTACCTCAAGATTTAAAAATGTTGGTTTCTAGTTTATAATGATAATAATATATGTACTAGTATACCGTCTCGTACCTATACAATATTTTATTAGCTTCTAGCATAAACTATTATTAGGTAAGTACTCTAATTGTAATTTGTAACTACCTACCTACCTACCTATACCTACCTATATCTACACACAATAATTTATATTCTGTTTTGTATATTTGCAACGACCTAATTTGAAACAATTTAAAATACTCTAAAATAATCTGTTTTTAGTTATACTACAAATTTGAAAATTGTACGTAAATGTTTTTCATGTAATATAATCACTTATAACGTACAATAAAATGAAACTTAAAATTAAAACTTTTAATTTTACATTAAAGACGATTTATATAGGTAAATGCAACATTGGATTCTTTATAATATATTGTGTTGAAAAAAATAAAATCAAAGATCATAAAAGAACACCTTACATCTATTAATGTATTCATGTATTAATGAAGTCTGATAAGGAATCGTGCAGAGCAAGCTCAAGACGGCTAATTTTTTTTATACGGATCCGCAATGTTAACAGATTTTCAGAGGGTAAATAATTTAGCACGTTCAGAATGGAATTAAGTGAAGGCATCAAGGGTAAAATACTACTTCATTTCAAATCAAAATTCCGCATTTACATTTCTGTTCACGTACTCTCAGTCATTAGACGTCCGAGTGTTTAATAGCAAGAAATGCAAATTGTGTAAATTCAATTGAAATAAGCTGCGATGTCCGCTTTGTTATATATATACTTACTTATAAACGCAATTAATACGAACAAATAAAATGGAAATATACAGACTTTTGTATTTTATATTAATTGCGTATTTTTCTCTTTACGAAAAACGAATTTATAGTTTCTTAAGTTTTGTTAATTAATGAAAATAACAATAAAATAGGTCAATCGAAAATCGCATATAATAGCATATTCTAACTGTTAAGGGTTTACTGATTGTGCGTTTGTACCTCCCACCGACTACTCTGCAGTTATCATTTATCACTATATAATTTCAAGTTTATAATTATAAATACTATGCGAAAGTAGCGAAACTAAAATTATTATTATTATTATTTTTTTTTTTTTATTGATCTAAAGCCCATTAACTATAGTCATCAGCTGTTTGTAGGGGAAAACGGTTGATTTTGAACACTTGTTATATATTTTATACTATATTTTGTATGTGTGGATGTGTAGCTAAAAATCCGGGTTGTCACCCATCCGAGTGTTAGCAACGACAGCCGGTATATACACTCAGAGCATTACTGCAGGTTGAGAGTATGACGGGCCTCATCAAGCTACTGAAACTAAAATATATTTATGAATAACTGAATATTATGTCTAGTTAGTTTTATAATAATATTATATAAAATGCAAACTAATAACAAAAATAAAAATAATTTAAATATACATTTTAAGTATTTTATTCTAAATATAAGACAACAACTTGAGTATTATTTTTTAAATGCTGGGGAAGTGAACGAGCATTAAATATTATCTAAATTAAAAATTTGATATTTCTTTAAGTTTTACTGTAGGTTAGGTAGGTATACACTATACACCCCTATATTGTATACATTCTGGTTTCAATAGGTTAAGTCTTTTGGTGTTTGAATATTCTATTTGCAGTG